AACTTAATGTACATCTGAAATACGGAGTTAAAGGAAAAGGGAAAGACGAAGGAAACGAGACAGAGGAGAAATTTATGGAGACCGAAGAAACATGCGATACTACTCTGTTCTTCTTTCTTTTCCTACGTTCGATAAAATCCGTCGTGTACCTTAATTCGCCTACGCGGAAGTACAGATCTACTGTTCATATATAGTCGCGAATTGATGTATATTGATTAATGAAAAAAAAATATGTATTTGTTCCTAAAGAAATATTAAGAGTAGTATAATATATCATAAAAGAATATTAATATTAATAGTAACGGATAACGATAATTTGATGGTATATACTTTCTTATAAGTAACATACATTACTACGATTATTGTAGAGTTGGTACGGTTCTTGAGGATGCCTTGCCTGTAAATGTAATATACGTTAAATGAAAAAAAATCTTATTATCTTGTAAATGTTTTACCAAATATAATCGATTATTCAACTTATACTTCGATTTTGTTCCCCTTATCCAACTCGCATCGTCGTGTTAGTAAGATTTACGACTTGATTATACTATATATTTCTCTTTTTTTGGTTTTATTGCCGTTAGTTCTTCAAGGTAATTAATGTCAACTAAAAAATCCCGTAAAGCCAGAGCTCACACGATCATAAATATACCTATCTGAGTGCATGCATAATCGCGACACTTTTAAATACGACAAATAATTGACCCGGTAATGCGTTATTATATACACATGCTGAACAAAGTGGAAAGTCAAATAAGAACCGATGCAAGATCGTAATTTTGGTTCTGGATTATGAAATTCTACCTTCTCGCAACAATGTGGCAACCTATTCATTCGCCTTTTCGAGAAATCTTGCGCGGACGCTGATATTTTATACTTCACCAAATACGGAAATTGCGTAATATATACATAAGGAAATTACGTGCAATGCAACATTTTAATCTAACTTAAGTACGATATTTTATTGTCAGATACATATTTTTTTAGCGCGGCGATTTCTTCCTTTAAGTAAGGGATAATCAACAGAGTATAGAAAGTGTTAAGTGAAATATTACATTTAATTAACAAAATTACTCGACGTATTTGATATTTCGTAATGTGGATCTGAGAAATGATCAGCGGCAATGCAATGTGGTCTTATGTGGCACACAATGGAAAGTCAAACGAATGGTCGGCGCGATCTTTGCTGTATGGAGATTGCGAAACGGCACCGGTTACTCGGACAGAGCAACTTAGATCACACTGGAAGGCCGCGACGTTGTTACGAATGATTTCAATGATCTCTTGATAACATTTTTTCCACTAACACTTTTGAACAGAACAAGACAAAAATGCTTGAGGTAATCTACTGCAGACATACGTTTATTCATGAATATTAATAATAACAGATTATTATTGTGGACATTGCTACCACAAAAAAAAAAAAACAGATTATAATTATATATCATTTTTTATCCGTTTTTATTCCTTTACTTCATAATAACAGAGTCCATGGGAACAGCGAGTGGATAAAATCTGCACGATCACGCGAGTACGACGTTCGTCGTGTGAGTTTTGATGGTCTCATACTGGACACACCGGATCGTTGAGCGCGAATGTTTAGTCACCATCGTTTTCGAGAAATGGTTTTTGACCAAAAGTTCATCCCACCGAGGAGCGCGAAATCCCACGTAAAGCGCGTACACGTGCGTATATGCACGCAAATCGATCCGTGCGTCTCGGAACAAGAAATATCGGCGGGAGCTCGTTTCCCCACCGAGAATCGTAAAGCCGTTTTCCTCCGCCGGGCTCTCCGGAATAACGTCTATCGGCCGACAATGCATCATGGGCTTTACGAAGGCT